AATGGTTTGGAAGTGGTGTTGCAGGTAACCTAGTCTTTCTTCATGCCCTGTGTCCGTTGGGCACCCTCTACATATTGTTTCACTGGGATCAGCAGACACTTCTTTGCACTGTGTAAATAAAATGGAATCAACATTTCTGTGGATTTTTTTCATTCTTGCAGAAACTTCTGTTTTACATTTTGGGAATCTGCTTTTAAAATCAGTGTAGTTCCCCATCCCTTTTCCAGGAGATCCTGCAAGAAAAAACCTGTCATTTTTTTTCATAAAGCACCTAATTGTTTTCCTAATAAACATAATAATTTTGCATGTTTTTTTCCCATGCAGCACCTTGATGCCCTCAGTCTGGATCTGGTAATTCACATCCCTGGTTTTTCTAAACAGAAAAGTGAACGTGTGGTCTCACAAGTACTACTGCTCTACCTGAACAGAGGCAACAAAATGGCCAGGCTGCTTTCCTGTCATCACTGCGGGGAAGTTTTCTTTTTTCTGGCTTCATGCAAAGTGTTCAGTTCTTCACCTGAAGTCACATTTGCATTGAAACACAGTTACACCTGGGAGCTCTGCTATACCTGTAAGCAGTAGGGTGCCCATCACAGCTTGCATGGCATATGGCAGTGCTTATCATGTCAATAACAAAGTCTGAATAATGCAATTCTTGGTTGTAATTATCTTTTATTATTATCAAGGGTCATTCCTGGCCTCTTCATCCTTTCATCTCATGTGGAATTTTGGGCTTCCTTATTAATTAAATAGCCAGTGTGATTGAATTAGCCAATTAGCTCTGCCTGAAGGGATGAGCACTGATCCAAACAAAGGGCTTGATTCCACAAACTTGTTGCTGTGAGGGAGAGTCTTGCAGGGAGCTGGCTGGCAATAGCAGACTCCTAGGACTTGGCAAACCTGATCCCAGTTAATTTGCAATTATTAGACCAGGTAAAAATTTCCATTTGGATACCTTCCTACTACAAAGTACTGCTTATCAAGCATGAAACTTCCCATAGGGTTGTTTGTTTTTATTAAAAATAATGTATTTGAAAAAAAAATCAGAGGTTGCTATACAGTGTTCTGCTGTTATCATTTTTTTTCTCAGAGTCATATTGTAATTTAAGATTTGTAAATTTTAAACTGGTAAAATTTAAAATGGGAACATATCCTTTTAACATTAAGAGAGGAGTCCTGACTGCCCTAGGCATTGGAAGAGTATTGCCATAAAATCCTGTATCACAGAAAATGTCCCACTAATAAAAAAATTAGACACTGTGTTCAACAGCTACTTCAGTGAGACAATGTATGTTCCCTAATCCTAAACCACAGATTAAAATCCCACAGGGCAACAGGGCTGTGCATCTCTTAAGTATCTGTGCCTGAAAGGCACATTGGAAATGTATGCAAATACAGCTCATCTCCATCCTGCTCCACTGCTCTCACTCCCTTTTTTCCTCCCTTTATCTTGACATGTTTACTGTTTCTTCTACACTGTGCTTCACTGAATAGCAGATCAAACTTCAAAGCAACTTTTAGTTTGAAATTTGTTTCCAAGCTCCTAAGCTATTCTTTTTCTGACAGCAGTGGATAAGAAATTGTCACTACCACTGGTGACATGTCATCGGGAGATACAGGAATAACAGATGGGCAGCAGTGAGATAACAGGAAGTAACTTCTTTAAAAGATTGTGTTGACATCATCAACCATGAGAGCAGAGGTAGAATGACCCCCAGAAGGGAATCCAATCCGCTCAGATCTTTCTGACTCACAGGTGTTTTTTTCTTACTTATTTTCTTATTTTCATACACAGATCATATTGGATTTAAAATTGTTTGAAGTTTTAAAACAGCTGTGTTAGAATTAATAGTAACTATTAATAGGGATTAAGAAAAGGATTAATGGATTTAGCCACTAACTTGAGTGTTTTAAATTATACTATTAAATGATAAAATTATCATAAATGATAAAATGATTGCTGATGTAACTGGCGTAACTGAATGCCATTAATAAGAGTCAAGAATCCTTGATTGCAATGTGAGATCAATGGGTTATGACATTTTGATGTCAGGCTGATGGATCTGACTTTCTAAATGAAGAATGATTGATTATGATTCCTCAAAAGTGTGGCTCATTATCAGCATATCTAAGCAACTCTTGACACCAACTATATATAACACCCATTATGGTGTGTCAAAAGTCTTTTCTTTGGGTGGGTGGCCATGATTTCTGAGGAAATTAATTGTTCTGATTACTGCAAGATATTATAGTATATTACCTAAAACAAAATAGTGCCTGGTAGCTACAGGGAAAGCAACACAGAGGCCAAGAAAAGACAGGGATTTTTTAGTCCTTAGTGCATTTGGCATATAACAGATGGTCCACAAGCCTGTAAGAAACCTGTTCTTTCTGATGGCAGTAAGAAAATTATATAAAGCACAACATGGGCTTCATTTTCTGCACTTTACAAAAGTCTACGAATTTTTCTTCTAAACTGGGAATGACACAGACCCGTAGGAAAACAGATTTCTTGATTTCAAAGAGGGCTGCAATAGTGCTAATTACTTTTGAAAGTCCCCTGTTATGCTGCACTTCGTATTTTAAATTTTAAAAAGATGTAACAGTATTTTATTTACAGTACATTTCAGTCCAGTTCAAAGTTTTGCTCAAGGGTGTAAACTCCATTGTGTAAAATGGTTGTACAGTGGGTAACATGGACACTGTCATGGAGTGTACATTAGTGCACAGCATTGTTATGGTAATAAAGTAATGCCTGAACTGCCTGGCCCAATACCCCATTCTGTACTGAGCACTACTTTGGAAAGAAGTTGATCTTATGAAAGAAATTTTTGAAAGATATATTAAATGTGGTTTGTTCATCAATACATGGTGTTTTATTGTCTCCTTCAGAATTCTTGGAAAAGCTCTGAGCCACTGAAGGAAAATCAGTCACAGCAGAAATTTTTGCCACAAGGTCTGACAGTGAAAACAGTAAACAGCCAGGAAGAGACAGATTTATCTAAGGAGGCAGAACACCCAACTGCCCTCTGCTACTAGCTTCTGAATCACTAGATGTAGGATTTAAAGGATTTCAAACAGGCATTTCAAACCACTTCAAACCACCACATTTAACATTATATTAATTTGGTTTGGGGGACATCATAATGTATTGACTTTCCATCTAGAAGACTAAGACATTAGACAATTACGAGCTCAAGAATATCACTAATTCTGCCAAGTCTTGCCAATTATTTTGTCTCCCAAAGGACAAAGAATACAGAAAAAGCTCCATACTGAGAAAATTACCTTTTTTACAAAACAAAACAAAAAAAAGGCAAAAATTAAAGGAAAAACTATTGTGAATAAATATTCTTTTAAAACAGTGAAGGATCTGCTGAAAAAGAATTTCTTTCCCCCTACTGGAAAAGAGTTGGTGTCTGGCTGAAATAAGGTGCAAGTTCTTTCAGGTAGGGATTCACTTTGGAGTGCTTCTAGTAGGAGTTGGACTTTCACCTGTGGATCAGTTTTGGAATAGTCAAGTCTTAAAAATAACTAACAATTACTTACTAAATAGTACCTATTACCAAATTCCTCTCTTCTTTGGAAGGTCAGTGAATTCTTAAGCAAACCACGATGCAGGCACACCTGGAGTTCATATGCCAGGATGGTGCTTGAGAGGTGGTGATTTCCAGCACTTGCTGCCATTTCCTACTACTAAATAAGACATCTCTGCTGGTTTTGTGAAGGAATATGAACATATATGGTATTGACTAATCCATGAGTCACAATTTGCTCCTGCTCTGAACTAGGCCCGAACACACACAGACAGCTCTGTTACACTTTGATCTGTCCTTGTTTTATGTCTGCACTGAGTGGGGCAAATGATTACAGTGGAGATCTATCCTGGATCTCTGTTGCTGGAACATCACCAGCCAGCAACATCCAGAGTTTCAGTCAGTATAAATCCGTATAATTAAGAGCTAGTGTTTTCAGGAGAACAATTGCTTGGCACTTTATCAGATCCTAAGAAATTTCCTGATGTTACATCACCATATCATTGCAGAGAAATCCTAGTAAGCAAAGACTGGATCAGGGCCTAAGTGCCAATTTGAAGTCATAGCACTCTAGGTTGTGGTTTTTTTAATTCAGTTTCTTTTGTGGGAAAAGAAAAAAAAACTTGCAAAATCTGCCCACATCCGGTAGATCTGATGTGACGAACAGCTCATAATCTGCAAACTGAAGCCGTCTAAGCAGATTATCAATTACTGAATTTAAACCAAAATTTTTCTTCATCCTTAGTGGAGAAGTCTGTTACAATTTAATGGTGACGCTACAGAATATTAATAGTGGGTTTACAGAAATTGCCCTGTACATCTACAGACTTCACTGTTGCATGTTGTCCAGCTGTGGCAGTATGAATGCTTTGTAGAGGAGAACACTGTTCTCCATAATTTTTACAGAGAGAGAGAGACTGAATCTGTTTACAGCAGCCCCAACACTGGAGCTCCTGGAGAGCTGCAGAGAGCCTGTGCCCCACCAAGAGCATTTGCAGGCTCCTCTCACACCCCTCCCCATCACATCCTTTTGCTTCTCTGGCTCCAAACCTTCCCCTGAGGGGGTGCATCCCCTGATGCCTGCTGTCACAGGGTGCACAGTCCGTCTGGAGCTGTGTAGCTGGTATTTTGCTTAAGAAGTCCCTGAGACAATGACAAAATCCTCCACATAATTTGCTAAAATTCAGCCACATGTCATTTCTTCATGATTGCTTCCCTTCCAGCTGCTGCATATTAATTTTTAATTATTTAGTATTTCTCCTTTTTGGTTTTACCTTCTCTGGAATGCTTCTGTATATTTTTTTTATTCTGCAAAATCAATTAATCAATAGTCAATGAAGTGTCTGAAATGGCTGGTCATGAAGGGGAGTAGCAGGGCTGTTTGGGTTGAGCTCACTAATACACAGCCAAAACTGCCTGACACCACTTGCAGAAAAGAGGGCAGAGCTTATCATATATGCTGACCATCATTGGAGACACTGTGGAGATACTTTCTAGAGAAGAAGACAACTTCAGAGAAGAAGACAACTTCATGTGCTGCTCAGACTGTAAAACATACAGAAGAAAAAAAATAAAAGCCACCTACTACTGTTAAAGTTTGTTTTGGTTTTTTTTTTTATATTTTTTCCATAACTATTCCAGTTTCTTCAATTAATATGGTGCATTTGCAAATGATAGTTTGGTTTTTTGCATTACTTGATGGCTATCTACTTGGCATATATATGCTACAGCTCAGCAAACAGAAAACAAAAAAATAACCTGTGCTCAAAAATGCACATCAATGGATTTTTAGCATGATGTGTAGGTTTAATAGTTATGAAAGCAGTATTTCAACGATATGATTCTGTAACTGGGTTCCACAGAGCACTCCTGGTCCATGAAGGTGTATGGCATTACTTGCCAGGGACACCAAGGAATATGTTCATTCCAAGTCTGCTGTGTGCACACAGAGGGCAGAGATACTGAAAGATGAACAGGGAGGTGCAGCTTTAGTTCACGGACATTTTCATGGCAATTTATAGATTCACAAACATCCAAATGCAGGACCAAGTCTAAGTTTCTAAACTAGTAAGGCTGGCTTGGTACTTTATTCCAAGTTCATTGTGCTTTCCAGTATGAAGTATCCTTATATGTGCCAGTAAATTTTAATAAAGGCAGATTTAGAAAAATCCCAAGTCCTCAGCTTATTGAGTGAGGAGCTCACTCCTAGACACCCAGTTTCCAATTTTAGGATGTATTTGGCTCTCAAACTTCCAGGGAAATATGAGCTCAGGGTGACCAAAGCAGCTACTTTAATCTGCAGAGCACTTGGGACAATTATCTTATTGCCTTATTCATTCCTGTAAGGTGTTAACCCAGACACCCAGGAATGGTAATTTAGATATCACGAGGAGTTATTGAACTCCTCAGGTAAGAAAGATCTGTACAATTTGCTGTGAGTGACATCTCATCTTAGTGTCACAAGGGGGTGATAGCTGGATGATAATGCCACTTACTTGTTTCTTCCCCCATCAAAAAGAAGAAAAACCTAGCAAAACAGGAAAGTTCCTAGCAAAGAATCAGAGTCATTTGTTATATTAATGATTAATTTTTATTTTTCAGACCATAAGAATGTTTTGGTCTTGGTGCTGTACAACTGAGGAACTAAAGATGACCCTTTCTTCAGAAAGCTTTCAAAGAAAAACTGTGCTAGCCACAGAAAGATGAAGTAACACAGTCCTGGTCAAAATAGTAGTCTGTGAGTTAAATTTTTGCTCATTTGCATGGCATAAAATGACTGTCAGTTCTGATTAATTGGGCTTGGTTTGAAAGCTGGAAGAGTAGCACTGCCAGCATGAGCTGGAGAGCAAGTCAAAGATGGGATAGAGCTGAGTAATTATCACAAGAGTTGGCGACAAACAGAAGATTCTCCTGTGCAGCAAAGAAGTTCCTGCTCTCTCCCCATCCTGATTCCCATTTTTTGTTAGGATGAGGGTCTGAAGAAATGACGAGTAGTACCTTAAATAAAAATATAAAACTCTTGTGAATATAACTGGAAAAGGCTTTCACCACTGCACTGATGAAGTAATCTGAAAGGAGTGCTGCTTCTCAAAGAGGCAAAGTTAATTGTAAGATCTGGAGAAGGAGGCCAATTTCAGTTTTAGGACATAAAACGTATTCCATGAAAATTCCTTCTAGGCACTTATTCAGACCAATGAAGAGGCAAAAAAGTAGTCCATGGACTACTACTTAGGCCATCACTTGAATGTTTCAAGGCTATAACTTAGAGATGTGATTTTCCCCACCCCCCATCCCATCCCGCAGAAAACTTGTGATTTTATGTGCTTTTTTATGGATGTATTAAACAAATGGCACAGCTGAATAGCTTTTCTTAAAAACTGGACATTCACCAAAAAGAAGTTTGCCAGCACAGACAATTAGGCTTTCTTCTTTTAACAATAGATTGACTGACTGGCACATTTGAAATGCGAGCGTATTTTTTATTCCTCCGTTCACCCTTTGAGCTGATAAACATGAACAATGGGAAACAGCTGGGACAGGAAAACATTTTAGTTTGTATTTTCAAAGCAAGCAAGAAATAAACCCATCAGTGGGAGCCAGATCACATCTTCTGCCTTAGGGGTAGTCAGCAATTGGGGGGAAAAATACGATCCATATTTTTAATCAAACATTACATATTTATTAATGTGCAGCTGGCCTATTGTGTGCATGATTTTTTTTCTTTAACGCTGTGCTGCGTCCGTCAGCCTGACATTGTTCTGTAACTGACATTACTCTATAAGGATCTGGAAATGCACAGATTTAATAGGAATCATTGAGACAATTGCTTTCTGTATTATTAGGTCTGTGTGACGTAGGTACCATCTGAAATTCAATTTTAGCAGAAAAATAAGATATTGTTCTATCAAGGCAATTTTGTGCACCTGTGATACAGTAAGAACATACACCCCCACCCTCCTATTTTCCTCCTCACTCATCTGACTTCAGGGCCATTTAATGATATGTGCCACTCTTTTGTTAAAAATGTTTGGCCAAATGTATTTTGATGCTTATTGAGATTAAACTTTCAGTACATCTCCCTGGTAGCAAAGGTTGGGCTGTTCATTAGTTGGAGGTTTGGCCTTGTCAGGTTCCATTGACTGCTGGCTAAAAGGATCACTTTATCATCATTTGTCTGCAATGGAGACAGTCTTTATTCAGCCTTGATTCCTCTGGGGTCACAGCTGTCATAACTTGGCTTGCTTTATAACGCAGACCCCAGTTTTGCAATCCCCTTAGGTAATTGGCTAATACATTCAGTTTACCTTAATATAGGTAATATGTTATTTACAAAGAAATACAAGGGAAAGGAAGGGACAATATTGCTTAAAAACATCCCCCTCCTAACCTACTGCTTGGGATCAATCATTCAAAAATTATGTTAAACTCAGTTCTCATTTTGAACTCAAAAGGGAAATATACCTTTTTTTTTTTTTCTGAGTTTTACTCTGATTCTTCTGCTGCAAATCTCTAGACCAAACCCTCAGGCCTGCTTTTCCACTGGTGAAAGTTGAGATAACTCTGCAGCTTTTGATAAGGCTCTTGGTGTTTTGAAGAATAAGGCCCTCATTTGTTCTTATTGTTCAGATCCTGTATCTAAAAGAAGTCTGGGGAGTTGAGCTTGTCTTAATTTATTTTTGGGGATTACTTTGGTTTTGAGATCTATTGCAACATACTAAAAATGTTCAACACAGAATGTACAAAGATATTTCAGCACAAACAACATATTTCATGCTTTTTTGGTTCTCTTTTCTTTAGTTGTGTGAAACTGCTGCCACCATCCTTCTCATTACATAACAGGATTTTCCTCAAAAACATACCACTGCAGTGGGCGATGCAGGACATTCTCTTGCTAGGTTTCAATGGGAGCCAACACAAACAAAGGAATACTGCAATTCACAGATTTCACAGAATATTCTGAGTGGGAAGGGACCTACAAGGATCATTGAGTCCAACTCTTAAGTGAATGGCCCATACAGGTATTGAACCCACAAAACCTTGGTGGTATTAGCACCGTGCTCTGACCAGCAGAGCCAATTCCCTCCCAACACCATACTGAGAACACCATTTGCTTCACTCTCAGCCTCAGGCTTCTAGTTCATTCCTGGGACAAGCCCTAGGTATTAGCCCACTGCCCTGCCTGCAGGAGAAGCAGGACTGACAGCCAGGGACTGTGCAGGACTGACAGACAGACAACACTCAGGCTCCATAGATGGGAATGCTCTTTGAAAGTGGCATCTCCTGCAGCGTCCTGGAATATCAACAGTGGAGTGAGTACATCTTCTGTGCCAACATTTTATATGCTGAAAACTACAGTTAATTCAACTTGAAACAATAAGTTTGAGTCTAAACTTCAGGAGGAAAGATGTATTTTCCTTTGCATTTGTGGAAGTTTGTGGAAGCTGAGATCCACACAATCCTCCCACACCTTCCTCTGCAGGAGGATCCAGACACCAAATCCTCCACACTTCACTGACTGGCTATTTCTTTTTCAAACTGTTTCCAGAATGAGTGTCTTTATTTTTGAAACAAAACATATATTCTATCAGTGGCATATTCTCACAGTAGTTTCTTTCAAATTCCACTCAGTCATACCTTGTGTGCATTTATGCACTAGCATGTGTTGAATTTCCCAGCTAATATCTTAACTAGAAGTTGATTTTCATTTAAGCTTCTAATTCAATGCCACAAGTGATTGCACTGCAATATCTTAATTACAGTTGGAGGTTGATAAGTAAACAAGCCATAATACTGTGGAAAGTTACCCTTTAAATATTAGCTTTCATATATTTTTATTACTTTTTTCACAAATATCTTCTATATATGAAATTAATTCAATATAGTTATAGAGAAAACAAATATTATATAGGGGGGAAAAAAAGCAATCAAACAACCCCACAACCCCCAGTGCAATCTTTTAAAGAATTGCATAAAAACTGGATATAAATGCCTGTTTCTATGTGTACTGCTGCACCATCCATGAAAACAGCCTTTAAGACAACTCATTTTACAAAGGGAAATGTCACTAGATATAGTGTTGATCATTAGGTGTACTACAGTGCATTCGTCTGCTTGTACCCCACTTTGATTACTATACAGCAAAGATGGCCACAAGCACTCAGAAAGTTTTATTGAGGTTTAAATCTTCATTCAAATGATGTAAAGGGGCATTGAATGAAGATTTAGAACTCTATAAAGCTGCTTGGCAGTGTCTGTGGCAATCTATGCCACATAAAAACTGAAATGCTTCTACTTTCTTATTGAAACATTTCTACTGTAATTCTTTAATATTAGGTAGCAGCCACACTGTTGGGACATTACCACATCTGGGAGCATTTCTCTTACCGAGGCATTTGCCTGCCATCAATTGTGCAGGATATTATAGAATGTACACACTGTTGATGTCTAGGACATAATGGAAGAGGAATTGTTACTGCAATTACATATTATTATGCTTTTCAGAAGATAATGTGGGTTCATTCATGTGAGTATTTTGAACTAGCAAATACCCTAATTGCTTACATGTCTGTTATAATCCTAAATCCAGTTGACATATCTGATGTACTGTTGCATTTTAATCTGGCCACATGCACATGTACTCTTTATGATTTTCCTCTGACCTGCATGAACTGTGCAAACAAGGAACACAAGTGTCTTGCACATTGCCTTTGCAGTTTTGGTCTAAGAAAATACCCAGGGGAACAGAGAGACAGAGCACTGTAACCAAGTGCACTTTTTTCAGGAATGTCGAATTAGCCTGTGCAAGAGCAGGATAAGTGCGAATGATCTGATTATGCTGTAATGACAAATTTATGAAACGAAGAGTGTGTGCATTGTTTCAACCGTCCTTTCACAACGTATGGGATTGACAGAGAATGTGTGGCAAATTATTCACCCATTCACTTAACGAGAAAACAAAGGGAGATGATTAAGAAACATCAGTATTCTGAAGCAGCAATCAAACTGACCCTGCCAAGGAGTGAAGAACAGCAAGCCCAGCCAAAAAGTGCTGCAGTCGTCTCCCTTTGTAGCTGCAGGTTTATGGCCAGCATTGTTTCACGGACTCTCCTGAGGTAGCAAGCAGGGCAACAGAGATAACAGCTCGTTGCACAGGAACAGCATGGTGCCTGTGGTATTCTCGTGTTCACACTGAGTGACAGAAAACGTTTGGAGAAAAGATGTGTGCTTTTATAAATTCTTGCTTAATAATCCACTAGAGGGAGCTTATGTATAACCTCTGCTAGGCCAATTATGTCAGAGCTTAGTTTTGCATAATTGACGAAGGTAGTTATGGGGGGGTACCTGCTCTGCTGTTCTTTTCTCCACCTCTCACCTTGGGGCTCAGGAGTGGCATTTTTGAAGTCTCCAGTTCTAACCAAAATAGCAATTTGCTTTTTTCGAGTGGAAGCAGCATTCTTGTTGGCATTGGGTGAGATCTTCATCATCTCCAGACTCGAACCTGAGAAGGAGCAGCCACTGCTGAGTGAGGACTTAAAGCATTAGCAAGGATTAACTTAACCTATCCTCTGTCTTTGCCTATTTCAATTCTGACTGTAAAACAATAATTCCTTTGCTATGATTCCCAAAGAAGAAACAGGCAAACTACCTGGATTGCAGATGTTGATCCCTTTTTATGTCAGCAGGACAAGGCTTTCAGCGCAGTGTTTGCCTGGGAGTGCTTGCTTTCCAAGTGGAAACTCTTTATTCTTTCACTAGGAGGCAACTGGTATAAAATTTGGTGTCCCTCACAATATTTAACATGCAAACACCTTCGACTATTTCCTATAATTTTATCTAATAAAAGACAGGTGTAGCTCTGTTATATCAGAAATATGAACTTTAGTTCAGTAGCAGAGATGCACTTGCAATCACAATTCTAGCTAAATCTAGAGATAACACACTTTCAAGCTACATACCCACACAGTACAGTCTACCTGAGTAGTCAGATACATTATCAAAAAGCTTATCATAAAACTTGAAATTGCTGTATCCTTTACACTCATTTTGTTGCCTTTTTTTCTTTCTTTTTTTTTCTGTTGGAAGAGAAAACTTATGACTACACTTCAGCTGTCACCAGCTTTCAAGGTTATACTGATAGGAATGAGAAACATATTCCTAATCTGCATACCAATGCATTGAGAATGCAAAGGCAGGCTTTTTGCCATTGAATAGATGATGATAAGGTCTTAAGTCTTTTGAATTTCTTGTGTTGTACTTGTATTATCATATGATTTCTTAAGCTAGGAATGAATATGTAAATTTCTTGCCACTGACTTGCTCCAAAATAATGGACATTACACTTGCACAGTGGCAATTCAGAGTGTAAAATTGATTAATATTTGTTTTCAAAATGACATGCAATGATGTATGGATCCTTTTACAACTTAAATTAATACTTTAAAGAGATGAATGGTCTCTACAGAGGATGTTAAAGTTCAAGCTGAAAAATTTGCATATTTATATTACAACCAACTGATAATAATTGTCGAAACAGAATGTAATGTGGTTCGTTTTTCATTTTAATCTGGTTGTACTCAAACACAGGACCTCATTAACTTCCAGCAACTAATACAGCATTATCAGTCCCCATAAAACAGGCTTGCCTTGAATTTATGAATTTCAAAGACTATTTCCAGTGGTGAATCCCTGTTAAACACTGGGTCAGTCACTAGCATGTGAACTCCATGTCATGTGCTGCAGAAGCATGAAAGTTACCTGGGAAAAGTGCTTGAGAATCCCATGGCCAGTTGCCTACTTGTTAGCTGACACCTGGAGCCAAAATTAAAGTGTGACACAGACATATTGCCTTTGATAGCTCACTCAAAGTTGGAATTTTTTGCTCTGAATGACCAAAGTCAGGAAATGTAACTTCTTCCACTTAGTAGGTTAGGTAATATTCTGTTACATTAAAAAAAAAAAAAAAGAGCAAGACATCTTTCCTTAAGATCTAAGTTTCATAAAAGGAAAACGCAGAACTTCTGATAGAGTAAATAAGTAAACTTGGAAGATATTGAGGGTACAGCCCAAGTAAATACTATTCCACTTGTATCATAAAATAAGCTTTCTATCAGCGTGTCTTAGGTAGTGCCTTATAGGTATTCTTGTAGCAGATATATCAGGAAATCTCTACAGTACATCTCTAGAAGAATGGAGAGTTAGCAAGAACCTTCACAGGTCTGTGAATTTCTTGTTGTGAAATGGATATTGAATCTTCTAATAATGATGCTTATTTCTTTAGTTCACCAAAAGCTGATGGTTATAAAAAGAGGAGGTATTGCTTACAGTGCACCCTCTTCAACTTTTTAAAAATATTTCCACATAAGTGCTAATAAAAGGATGCTATGATTAACTTATTTCTATCAACAAAATTACTTAGGAGAAAATAATAAACTACTTTTTCTATGCCATCTCATATTTTGACAGTTAATATGAACTAAAATTCCATGGGCCTAGGAACTCACATTGATCCATCTGTTCAAGAGATCTGGTGTATGGCTGGTCTGGGAGGGTGGGAAAGCAAATGTAACTTTCCTTTAACACTATAACAGCTCCAAGTAACTCGGGACTCAAAAGGGCTGTCTGACAGCTGGCAGTAGCTGGAGTATGGATGCATTTGCAATCTCCTAACTGTATTCTGACAGGGAAGAGGGTAACAGTCCTAAACTAACTTCCTGTAGCCCAGATGTTGTTTTTAGGCAAAGAGCAGGTCACTTAGATCAGTCCCACGGCTGCTTTGTTCAGTACTGGGAAAGTCCCTAGAGGCTGAGAAAAAGAGAAGGAACACTACAGAAACTCTGTAAATAAAGTAAACGTATACTTTGCTAATAAGAATAGCAAAAACTGTTACTTAAATAAATTAAAAACTCTAAAATGTCAATACCTAGCATTATAACTATTATTTCCTAAGAAGCCATCCAGATTTTCCATTACAATCTCACAAAAAACTGTTTTGTAGACATTCCTAGCAGCTGAAAAACACCTGGAGGACAACCAGTGATTGGACATTCATTTGTTGCAACTTTATAATTTGACTCTTTGAATGCTCCTCGCAAAATGGGTCCACAGGGTAGGCCAGTGAGATGCCTTGTTGAATTCCCAAATTTGTTATTGAATGAGCTGTGTTGCATCCAAGCCACCACAAAACTTAAAAACAAAATCAAAAAAAGGACAGGTAAAGTAGTAAAGCCTCTCCTTCAGCATACAAACTCATAGATCCTACATGTTGGGAACTAAAGGATGACTAAATAATTGATTTTTCATCATGAAGGGAATGTACCTTCCTACAGAGCTCTGTAGTGGAACCTGTGCTGTAATATACTCATAACTGACTTAGAAAAATGAGGGAGTGCATATTACGGAGACAATTTAATATCTAGTAGAATATTACCTAGGACAGTGAAAACATAAACTGATTAAGACTTGGTGAAGAATCTCTGAGCATCTTGTTAAGAAAATGGCTGAAGAGACAAGATGCTGACAAAAGCAAACATTGCACAGGTTGGGGGGAAGGGAAGAGAAAACAATACCCCAAACCAGAAACACAGTATGCAACCCTAAATAATTTATTATCACTTAGGAAAGTGGGAGAGTAATTATGGACAGTAAACATTAACTCAATGCTTAGGCGAGGAATGGAAACACATTATATATACACAGCATCCCTGAATCATGAACACTTCTCAGTGTTTGATCTCAAATGTGGTATTACAGAATAACATAGAGAAAAATTATAATGACAAAAACATTTTTGAATGGTTTTTGAAAAATTAATTAGATAAGATTCCTTTGATTAGGACAGGAAAGCTTGAGAAAGAATTTGTGAGGAATCTATAAAAACATGCCTTAACATGGAAAAGATTAATTGGGAATAAAGTCACCTTTTCTCATACTACATCAGTTAGTGATCAATCTGGAAAATTACAAAACAGCAGGTATATGGAAATAGATATCTCTTTATATGTTTCCTACTTTATCAAAACATATATTTGGATGTTAAAATTGTGTGTGGGTTCAGAAGGTGACTGGAGAAAATTCAGACAAGAAATGCCCATCAGAATTTCTTAAACACAATGATGCAGATATAAACAGCAGTCCCTGAACTTCAGGTTGCTGGAAATAGTAAGACTGCCATGAGGAAAGCTTCATTTCATTGCTCCAGCCTTATGCCTGTTTTTGCAAACATCTGCAGGAGACAGGATGTAGGGCTTGCACAGCCACTGCTGTGCTCCGATGGACTGACGGAATGGCACAGAACAGGAACACAGGAACGTTTGTTCTACTCCAGTCACAGCTCAGCAGATCACAGAGTATTTTGGTTTTCAACCCCACCAACCATACTGGCAAATTTTCTTACTGTAGCAAAATTCTTTGCCAATGAAACTGGGCTTTTCCAGTACAAGTTCCAGCAATCCCTGTGAGGCAATAAGGGTGAGTTAAGCCATCAGAAATATATATTTACACGTGGAAATTGTTAGCAATACTGCTCTGCTTTTCCCCAGAGACAGCTCCACTGCAACAGCCTTGGAAAACACATGCACACACACACACACACACAGAGGGAGAAACAATCAATAGATACACTTAGAAAGCCTGTTATACCATGTTGTGCTTCACGGATTTTGATAATATCAATCATAATTGAGTTAGATATAATCCATCTGACTTTCAGTGTGCTGGGGTCAGCCGGGGACACAATGCCTCACTTCACATCAATTACCACATATAGTAAGGTGGTGGTAAGCAATTCCATTTGATAGTTTGCAGCTATAAATAATTATATGGCAATAGCAGTAAAGTTGGCTCTTGGGCACAATACAGAATCATGAATTTTCATTTACTTATATCTCAGAAGCTGTTAGGCCTACTGGTTTGAAATGTGAACCCCTGGTTAGGTATATCAGTCTTTCTATTAATACCGTATATGCAGCTGGTAGGTGCTTTTGAATGAACATTTTACGCTTTCTCTTACTTCCTGAGAATATTTTCATTACAAATATGACCACATGATACATAAGGATTGATTAGAAATTGCTATGACAAAGCAAACTTCGTTTCATTCTCCTTTATTATCATGTTTCATCTTTCATCCAGTTTAGGCCTATCCCATCCAAGTCTCTGCAGGATTTCAGTAAGAAGATGTTTTTTACATGCTGTATAATAAATTCTCAGCAATTTGAAAACATACAGAGTAAAGCAGGTTTGTTAATCAGAAGAGTAGTGCAGAAAGGTTGCAAAAAAATCAGAGATTTTATTTACTTCCTTGCTTTGCCTGGACACCTGTTCCTTTTAAAATTCTGCTCTTTATGACATATTCTATGTTTTAAGAAGATTAGTCAACAGAGGCAGAGTGGACATAGATTAGGAATAAGGTAGGAATATGGAATGGAGTTTAGCTGATTTAAATGTGAAGATCAGAAAAGAACCAGGCCAAGGGACATCTAAGGAAGGCTGGACAAGTAC